TTAGTGCACAATTTCTATTTATTTGCTGAGTTTAACATATTGGAAAAACTAAAACATAAAATATAAAATGTGCTATAACTTTTGCACAGGTCACATTTTATGTTTTCCCACAATTTGTTATATTTAGCAAACAGTGTTCAATGTAGAGGACGTATTAACTTATGTACACAAAGGTTGTCACTTTAGCCAGGGGCGCCAAAACTTCTGCATTAAACTGTAGTGCTGGACTCCAGCAACTGCCCATTGGCTTCTGTTGTAAGTAAATTGGGAGTTAGTTGTTTTTCTGTTCTCGTCTACGTACAAGGCAGTGTTTCCATGTTAACTGACGATACGATAATGGAGACGCTGCAGGCAGAGGCGAGCTGGAGTTTTCCTTTAAAACACCTCCACCCGGCAGCCTGCAGCTCTTTCCTTTTCCAACACTACTGCCATTTGGGAGGAAACTAAATAGCACTGCGACTCAAGTGATGACAGCTACAGTGTCCCAGGTGTTTACCTGTGACGTCCAGAGCTCTCCAGCGTGCTGTGACGTGCTCGCTGAGGGCACATGCACCGGAGCGCTCGACCGATGGCCAAGTTCAAAAATCCGAGCTAAACGCTAGCCAGTTGCACAACGGGGGCCAACGGAGGGCCGGAGTCACTGACAATTCCGAGAAAGCAAATACGTGAAGGAAAAAAAAGGACAAAGTGTTTCTCGACGTGCCTGACAGTCAAAATAATATTCTCCTTTTTCGAACTCAAACAGGTAAACAGTCTGATTTCCATTAGGCCCGTTTTCAGGCCTGACCGTCCAGAGAGGCTCTTCAGTCACTTAGACAACGTTTGCCTCACTCCTGACCTACATTCACAGCCAACACTGGAATTTGGCTTTCTCACAAACAGAGCCGTAGCGGGAGTGTTTAAAGGACAGACATTTTGACTCTTTGCATTAACGTGTTACAGAGTAACGCTGTTCATGAACCGGGCTGTATGGTGCAGTTAAAATCACTGAAATGTCTGGCTTTTGTACAGTGCGAATTTCAAAACACGGATTATGTAAACCAGCATTCAACAGTAGTTACTGTCACCACAGACATATGGGCAGCACTAGAGCTGTTCTAGGCATTTTCAAAGCTAAAGACCTACTATAGACATATATTCAGTTCTACCGCCACCTTATACATATATAATCAGTGACACTCTAAAGCTATTTTTATTGTTAGGGCCATTTAATACATATAGGCAGTCTTAATGATATTCTGTGGTGTTTGAGCCATTTTACAGACATATATTCAGTGATAGAGCCATGCTATAGACATATATTCAGGGACAGATCCATTCCAGAGACATATATTCAGTGATAGAGCCATGTTATAGACATATATTCAGGCACAGACCCATTCCAGAGACATATATTCAGTGATATAGAATGTCTCTATACATATATTCAGTGATAGAGCCATGCTATAGACATATATTCAGGGACAGATCCATTCCAGAGACATATATTCAGTGATAGAGCCATGCTATAGACATATATTCAGGCACAGACCCATTCCAGAGACATATATTCAGTGATATAGAATGTCTCTATACATATATTCAGTGATAGAACCATGCTATGGAAATATATTGAGTGACAAAACCATCCCAAAGACATATATTCAGTGACAGAACCATGCTATAGACATATATTTAGTGATAGAGCCATCCTATAGACATATACTCAGTGATAAAGCCATGCAATAGATGTATAATCAGTGAGAGAGCCATCCAATAGGCATATATTCAGTGACAGAACCATGCTATAGACATACTTTCAGTGACAGAGCCATCCTATAGAAATATATTCAGTGACAGAGCCATCCCAGAGACATATATTCAGTGATAAAGCCATGGTACGGGTGTCTAATCAGTGAGACAGCCATCCAATAGACATATATTCAGTGACAGAGCCATGCTACAGACATATAGTCCATGATAGAGCCATGCTAGACATATATTCATTGATAGAGCCAACCTGTAGACATACTGTGTATTCGATATTGGAGCCATCATACAGACATATATACAGCACTTAAGCCATTCCTTAGACATATAATCAGTTTTGGAGCCATCCCATGGACATACATTCAGTGATAGAACCATTCTATGAACATATTCTGTATTACAGCCATCTTATAAACATAGTTTCAGACTAGAGTCATGCTGCTGACAAATCTTCAACATTAGTCACGCTATGAACATATTCAGTGGTAGAATATTTCTATAAAAATATATTCAGTGATAGAGATCTTCCATAGATATATAGTCAATATTAGAGTCATGTTGTAGAAATATTCAGTGCTAAAGGCATCCTATAGACATATAGTCAGTGATAGAACCATTCTAGACATACATGTAGTTCTTCTAGATAGTAAAATACAGTCATTTCCGAAGTTCTAATGATTCTTTTTAGCCATTCTATAGACATTTATTCAGTGGTAGAACCATCCTATAAACATATTCAGTTTAATATATATAATATACACATTCTGGCAGCCCTAAAGGCTTTCTATGAGCATATATGCCATAGAAACTTTGGCAGATCTATAGACACTCTATATATACATTTTATATATGTTCAATATTAGAGTGATCCTATAAACATATACTGTGCAAAAGCCATTAATTCCACATATCTAGTAATGGAGCCATTCTATAGACATATTCCATATTAGAGCCATCTTTTAGACATATGCAGTGGCGGAGCCATCCTTTAGACATATTTAGTGCTAAAGTCATTCCAAAGACGTATTCAGTGTTAGAGTGATCCTATATTCTGTATAGGAGCCATTCTATACATACATGTACACCATTCCCTATACATACACTCAGTACTACAGTCATCCTATAAACATATATAAACCAATTTATAGACATATATTCTGTGTTATAACCATCCTAGAACTTTATTCAGTGGTGAAGCCATTCTACAGATATTTTTAGTGTCACCGCTATTCTATAGACATACATTCAGTATTACAGTGATCCTATAAACACATTCAGTGGTGGAGCTGTTCTATAGACATAAAGACAGTGCTAAATCCAATTTATAGACATATAGCCCATATGACAGCCATTCTCATAGACCTGTTCAGTGCTAAAGCCATTACATAGACATATTCAGTGTTAGAGTCATCCAATAAATATATTCAGTCGTGGAGCCGTTCTACAGACATATGCAGTGCCATTCTATAGACATAAATTCAGTACTACAGTCATCCTACAAACATATATAAACCAATTTATGGACACATAGTCTGTGTTATAACCATTCTATAAATATATTCAGTGGTGGAGCCATTCTACAGACATATTCAGTGTTACCACTATTCTATAGACATACGTTTAATATTACAGTCATCCTATAAACACATTTAATGGTGTAACCATTCTACAGACATATGTGCAGTGCTAAAGACAATTTATAGACATATGTTCTACTTTAGAACCATCCTATAGACATACTCAGTTGTGGAGCCCATCCATAAACATATTCAGTGATGGAGCCATTCTATAGGCATACATTCAGTATCACAGTCATCCTATAAACATATTTAATGGTGGAACCATTCTATAGATATAAAGACAGTGCTAAATCCAACTTATAGACATATAACCCATATGACAGCCATTCTATAGACCTATTCAGTGCTAAAGCCATTCCATAAACATATTCAGCGTTACAGTCATCCAATAAACATATTCAGTTGTGGAGCTACAGACATATTATGTGTTAGCGCTATTCTATAGACATACATTCAGTACTACAGTCATCCTACAAACATATATAAACCAATTTATAGACATATATTCCGTATTACAGCCGTCCTATAGACCTATTCACAGTTAGAGTCATACTATAAACACATTCTGTATCAGATTCGGTGTTAGTGCTATTCTATAGACATACATTCAGTAAAGTCATCCTATAAACACATTTAATGGTGGAACCATTCCATAGACTTATGTGCAGGGCTAAAGACAATTTATAGACATATATTCTGTATTAGAGCCATCCTATAGACACATTCAGTTGTGGAGTCATTCCATTCAAATATTCAGTGGTGGATCCATTCTATAGACATACATTCAGTATTACAGACATCCTATAAACATATTTAATGGTGGAATCATTCTATAGACACAAGTGCAGTGCTAAAGCCAGTTTATATACATATATTCCATATAAGAGCCATCCTATAGACATATTCAGTGCTAAAGCCGTTCTACAGACATAAATTCCGTGATAAATCTATTCTGTATACACGCACTCAGCGCTGGGCTGAACTGTAGCCGAGCCTGTTTTCCCAAAGCACTGCCCTCAAAGCAGCGCCGCCACAGTGGGCTCTTTCAAGGGGTGGGGCATTCTAGTCTGCCCTCACAGAAAAGTTTGCCAAACTTGGCGGATTCCAGGAATACACACACACAGACACACACACACACGCACACACACACACAAGCACACACACACACAAGCACGCACGCACACACAAAGAAAAGAACGGTGCACTCCAATGGCCCCCCCTCCCCCTACTCCCCTCACTACAATCACTAATCGATTATTATCTTCCGCTGCTTCCAGCGCAGCCGATGTGCAGACGCTCACGCACGCACGCGCTGAGTTGCGCGCACTCGCTCGCGTCGTTTTTCCACGGTTCCCTAGCAAAGTTCGTCCCCCTTTTTTTCAACGCCACCCCCCCCCCAACCCCAACGAGCCCGGCGACTCAGAAAACAGAGGGAATGAATAAATACGTAAGTAAGTTAAATAAATAAATACAGTGGAAAACAAGCGATGGAGGCGATTTATTTTCCGAGGAAAGCCGAACTTCTCTCCGTTTCCCGAACGCTTTCGCCCTCAAGGACACTGCAGCTCACTTGGCACGCGCAGAAAAAAAGCGCTCCCGGAGTAAACAGCCTCGAAAAACAACAAGCAAAGGGCTGTAAAGTGTCAACAGAGCGGCCCCGTGTCTTCTTACCTTCTTGCTGTTTCTGCCGTTGTAGCCGTTGTACGGATTGATTCCCGTCCTCGGCGGCACGGAGAGCAGCATTTTCCCCCCAGCGCTGCGTCCGGAGCGGAGAGTACTGCCAAGGCTGCCCGCTGACGTCAGCTCGGGAAGTTAAGCTCGGGATCGGGCGGAGGGAGGGAGGGAGGGAGAGTCGTCAAAAACCCACCCATATTCCGACAAACTCCGCCTGCTCTCGTCTCCTGGCCGGCGTCCTGCGCTGTGATTGGCTAATGCGCACATACAATGTAGTTTTTTCTGTGTTAGGAAATATTTCTGAAATTAGATGTGGACCACCTTAACGAATTAGTTTGAATTAGTGTAGTAAAAATATTTATAAAAAAAAATCCAGTCCTTTCAAAGTTATGATCTGTTTAAACTCAAGGCATTAATAGAGATGCACTTTAAAAAAGATGGTTCTTTAAAGGTTCCTTAGTAAAGGGAATGGTTCTGTTAGTTCTATATAAGACCATTTGCATGCTTAAATGGTTCTTTGCATAGTTAAATGGTTCTTCAGATTGATGGATAATGTGTTGTGGTTCTACATAGCTCCAAAAAGGGTTCTGTTACTGTGACAAGCTTGACATCGTGACAATAGCAGAACCTGTTTTGGTGCTATATATAGAACCATTTTCAGAACGTTTCTGCATAGACCCATATGCAACGCATTCTTGATCAGTCTTAAGAACCATTTCACCATGCAGATGTTTTTGTTACTGTGACTTTAAGACTGATAAATGTAAGTGAGCTCTGTTCTAATAAACTAATCAACAGATCTCTTAACAGTGGTGGTGATAGGAACCAGGGGTCGTCATGACTACAACAGAAATATAGACATTTTATTATCTTGTTATTTTATTTATGAAATACATTCCAAACACTAAAATGTATTTCAGAATATATTGCCATATTAACCAAATACATTATTTTAAAAGTGTATGGGGAAATATTACACATAGACAAAAATAAAGATATGTAAATCTGTTTATCAAATACATTTGAAAATGTATGAAAACAGCCAAAATCCTGTCTAATGCACTTTACTGTCTGATACCTTTTGAAATGAATTTGTATTCCAGCATCTTCATTTTAAATGTTAGCATATTAACATTTACCATGACAAAAGTGAGTGTTGTAGATATTGATACTCTGTGAAAATGCAGTTATGATTTGATATCTTGTTTATTTGAGATATATTGTGTGTGAGAGTCTTACTGCATACGGACATGGTTCATGTAAAGTACAATGCAGATCACAGAAGTCAGAACTGTTTAGTTACATCTGCAACCTTTATTACAACTACATACAACTGAACACATATAATAACAAATACAAATGAATTCATTTTATACACTTCAGTAATAATAAAGTTATGGCTGGAAAATACACATAAATCAGTTTTTTTAAGTTAAACTGAGTAAACAAAGCTGGTGATCATCTTAAATCATATTTCATTAGGCGAGGATGGCGGGCAGTTCGTGAGTTTTAACTACTATCCAATCATAGCGCAGGAGGCGGGGCTTGTCCCAATACGGGTGTGAAAAAAGAACACTAGCCAAGTCCCGCTGTCTGTCACCAGGACTGCTGTTCTGTCGCAGCTCCCTGGGTCCTAGCGCCGATGCTGTAAACCAACGACAAACTCTAAAAATATGGTTTTTCAACGGTTCTTAAGCAAAGGCAGAGATTCTTCGCAAAGCCATGAACACTCAAAGAACCAGTGGTTCTTTGCATGGTGAAATGGTTCATAAGATTGATGGAGAATGTATTGCATATGGTTCTATATAGCAACAAAAAGGGTTCTTCTATTGTTACTGGACTCATAATGATAGCAGAAAAAATTTGGTGCTCCATTTTCAACAAGGTTCCATATAGATGTATATATAAAAAAAATCACCCATCAATCTGAAGAACCATCTCACCATACAAAGAACCATTTAAGCATGCCATATGGTATGGTGAAGTGGTTCTTCAAATTGTTGGAGAATATAGTGTATATGGTTCTATATAGAACCTTTTTGTAAATGGTTCTATATAGCACCAAAATTGTTCTGCTATCATTATGATGCTTGTAACAATAGAAGAACCATTTTTGGTGCTATATAGAACCATATACAACACTCTTTCCATCAATCTGAAGAACCATTTCACCATGCAGAGAACTATTTAGCCACATAAGAAGTTCTTTGAGTGTTCATGGTTCTATTAAAGAGCCATCTTTTTAAGTGTGATAGGCTATACAAATCCAGCTCTAAGAGCAAGAATTAACTACACTGTTAGAAATAAAGGTTCTGTGCAGGTACATTCTTTGTTCATCAAGGTACAAACAATGTAAATGTTCCCTCAAAGGTACAGCAGTGGTTTTAAGGTCCAATTGTGAACCTTAAAAGTTTTTCCAGGTGAAAAGTATGTATTTGTACTTTTTCATAACCTAATGTTTTAAAACAGAACAATAAAATAAAAAGCCTGGAGACGAGATGGGGTGTGTGGAGTCAGTACAACAAATATCATTTCAATGGATTATGGTACAATTATGTTCCCTGACTGAAGGTGCTGAGATGTACCCTTGAGGGTCCCACCCCAGTGACGAGAGGGGCACTGCTGTAGTGAGAGTTTCAGTTTCAGTATATAAATAAATAAAATAAAATGTCTATATTTGTGTTGTAGTCATGGTGACCGCTGGTTCCTGTCACCACCACTGTAAAGAAATCTGAACCATTTTACACCAAACCATTTAAATCACTCTGTCTACATCTCCAACAGTGAAGTATGCAGGAATTATGTAAAATTGGTGGAGTTGCTCCTTAAACCTTAGTCTGCTACAGGTTCTCCACCAACATCTAAGGGACATATTATAGTGAAATGCACATAATTAATTAAATTATACCAGATTATGTTATGTTATGATGTTGCCCTTTGCTATTGGAGTAATATTATATTCATTAATATGCTTGTTTTTGTTCTCATGTCATTCACAGATCCTTTTTTGGAATATTTTGCTCTGAATATTTACAAAAGCTTCACTGGTGCGCATTGAGCCTACATATTATCTATTATCAATTATCTATCTCACTGTATTAACAGGTTTCCAAATCAGACAAGGCATATCGTCAAAATACAGTCTAATAGTTTTCGACAAAGTTTTCTTAAAGTATGCAGAATGAGATTGCTAATGTTATGTAATAAATAAACCTTCAGTGTTGAAATGGTCCCTTAGAGATTTTTTCCTGGAAATGAGGCTGTTTATTGTTTTAAATCTACCAATAAAAGATGCAGTCAGAGGTCTGTGTTATGTGAGAACTAGTTTTCTGAATATACAATAAATCTAGTGTCACACTAAATGCTCAATAGAGCCTCTCTAAGGAAAACACTGTGTTTTTGTGAAGGCTTCGGGTTCTGCGGCCATGAACCCTGACCTCCGACTGCTTACTGCTCTTTGTGTATCAACAGTGACCTTCCTGATCAAGATTAGCAAAGTCAGAGTGGTCACTGTCGATTTAGAGGGTACAGTCGTAATCTTATTAATGATAATCATTATAAACAGTTATACACAGTTAATTTCTCTTTTTGCAGTGCCCCCTGGAGGCCATTTCGCTGGCAGAACGGAAATTATATTTTTAGTTAAAATAATCAAATAAAATATTTGCTCCCTGTAAGTCTGTTATCAGACGAACTAGGACTCTGTCGTCTCTCTGTGTGTGAAAGGTTGAGCTGCTAATGAGCAATGAGGGGGGAAGGGAAGGTGTGAGACCCCCCTGCTGTGAAAAACAGTTCACATCTCTCCACAAAGACGACCATGCCGAGATCAAACAGACAACTGCAGGTTTTTTATATATGCATTGTGGTGTCTGCCACGGACCATGCTGTGTGAGGAGCCATGCAAAGTGGCTCTGGGAAGACGCAATGGTCCCTGTAAGAAAAGGACAGTCACTGTTGCTGTTGTGATGTTGTTGTATAAGTGAAGTAATTGTTTTTTATTACTGTACTTGTGACCGAAAAGGGTGGGATACAGTGTGTTGAGTATGTCTACCCTCCTCATATGTTGTATCCTCCTGGATCCACCGCAATACAGACATAAATCTATATACATATATACCCATAGGCTGCGTTCCAAAGCCTAGGCTGCATTTCTCGGCCGCTTCATCATAGAAAACTGTTCCAAAGTGAATGACCCTTCGTATACAGCCTAAAAATGCAGGCTACAGTGGTGTGAAAAAGTGTTTGCCCCCTTCCTGATTTCTTATTCTTTTGCATGTTTGTCACACTTAAATGTTTCAGATCACCAAACAAATTTAAATATTAGACAAAGATAACACAAGTAAACACAAAATGCAGTTTATAAATGAAGGTCTTTATTATTAAGGGAAAAAGAAATCCAAACCTACAGGGCCCTGTGTGAAAAAGTGATTGCCCCACCTCCCCTTAAAACATAAATTAACCTTGGTTTATCACATCTTTGGAAAGCTGAGTTCAATAACCACACCCAGGCCTGATTACTGCCACACCTGTTCTCAATCAAGAAATCACTTAAAAAGTGATGACAAAGTGAAGTAGACCAAAAGATCTTCAAAAGCTAGACATCATGCTGCGATATAAAGTAAATGAGATCTATCAGTCTGGAAAAGGTTATAAAGCCATTTCTAAAGCTTTGGGACTCCAGCGAACCACAGTGAGAGCCATTATCCACAAATGGCGAAAACATGGAACAGTGGTGAACCTTCCCAGGAGTGGCCGGCCGACCAAAATTACCCCAAGAGCGCAGCGACGACTCATCCAAGAGGTCACAAAAGACCCCACAACAACATCCAAAGAACTGCAGGCCTCACTTGCCTCAGTTAAGGTCAGTGTTCATGACTCCACCATAAGAAAGAGACTGGGCAAAAACGGCCTGCATGGCAGAGTTCCAAGATGAAAACCACTGCTGAGCAAAAAGAACATAAAGGCTTGTCTCAGTTTTGCCAGAAAACATCTTGATGTTCCCCAAGACTTTTGGGAGAATACTCTGTGGACTGACGAGACAAAAGTTGAACTTTTTGGAAGATGTATGTCCCATTACATCTGGCATAGAAGTAACACAGC